ATTATTATTATTATTATTATTATTATTATTGTTTCACCCCCTTTCCTTCTCTAGCAATGTTCTGTCGTCTGCTTCCTTCTCGACTTTCTACTCCCCCCCCTCCCTCTCACCTCCTTTGCCCCCTCCTCTGGGCTCCTGACTCTTTCTGCAGACTTTTTAATTACTGCTAGTCCTAGTCTCCTTCTTACTGTTGTCTGTCAACCACACCCCTCATCTTATGGTAGGAAGACTTACACCTACAGCCTTCTCGGACAAGGGCAAAAAGTTTCAGAGATCCTGATGTGTGCAAGTTGAGCGCGTTAAAAACCCCTTGGTGGTCCAATTTCGATAAGAGTAGACTTTGGCTGTCAAACAGGCAAAATTCAAAATTTGCTACCAACTGAAAATGTGTAATGTGTCCCGTTAACTTGTATGACCTTATGCAGTTGCAAGCGCCGTAAAATACTTACAACATAAAAACAGTAAATGAATTTTTGAATTTGGGATCAGAATCCGCCTCCTAAATTATCTCTCAAACTGTGTCAACAGGGGACTAAAATTTATAAGCACCTGTAATGCAGAAAAGAGGGGGGGGAGAGAGAGAGAGAGAGAGAGAGAGAGAGAGAGAGAGAGGGGGGGATTGCAGAGTATAATAATATTACTAAATTAATATTGTAGGCACCCACAATATGGGGGCTCTCGTGAACTACAAGTCTAGCCAAGGTATGGTGTTCGCCTCTCATTCAAACCTGACAGGGACGGGTAATTTTCTTCGCTGAAATTTTCTCATTACACCCCCTGCTCTCTATATACATGTTTTGTCTGTTTCGTCTCCACTTTCTGCCCCCTAACCCTAGGCTCGCGAATCTTTCTGCAGCCTTTCTACTGCTACTCCTTGGCGTTTACTTACTGCTGTATTTTCAACCAAAACCCTGATCTTAGGTTAGGTAAGATCTAACACATAGCCTTCTCGAATAAGGGTGAAAAATCTCGGATATATCGTGTGCAAGTTGCGCGCGTTATAAATTCCTTGGCGGTCAAAAATTGATAAGAGTAGACTTCAGCCGCCACCTGGGCCAAATTCAAAATTAATTCCTATCAAACTGAAAATGTTAAAAGTGTCCAGCACGCTGATAATAATTATGACTTTATGCAGTTTCGAGCGAAGTAAAACTTTTACCTAAACAAAACACAACATGAATCCGAAGTTTAACTTAAAGGTTGAGATATGTAAAGAAGAAGTGCTGTGACCCGATAAAAAGATAAAACTTAACCGAAGATCAACTCCAAAAGTGGGTTCAACTCTAGTGGAGTCGACAGTTGTTGGTACTTATGATGACCTTTATCATTAAAAAAAGAGAAACTTTATAGACCTTGATAGTAATTATAGCTAACGCAGGTAGCTGGCATATGGTGGAGAGAGGTAAAGAAGACATAAATGAAATCATAGAAAGCAATTTATTGTTTTCAATGGCGGTGGGTAGTGAAGGGATCACGGACTTGAACCCCCCCTCCCCACCCCCAAGTCTATCCCAAAGCAAATGAAGACACGAAATAAGCAGTTGAAACTGTTCTGATCGCCCGCAATGAACACAGCGTGATCAATTTGGCGGCTTGCTCGTTTATTCAACCACCGTTGTCACGGCTTACAACTATATATAGTAACCTGACAGCCAATCAAATATCTTTAGGGCTCAGCAATCAACCAGCCCGTTCCCACGGTCCCTCCTTAATGAAACCCCTCTTGTAAAAAGGTAGAAGACTTGAAAAAAAAACCCCACCCCACTGCACAGAGGGCTCACGCTCTCCCAGCCCTGAAAAGGGGGTGAAAGTTTACGACACACTCCCCCCCCCATGAAACAGTTACATAATATGCGCCCATTGGGCCTTTGTTAGGCGCGTTCTATTTTCGTAAACAACACGACCCAATCCACCTCATGGACATGTGTTTGGAGTGTTGTGTGTTTGTGCCGCTGAGATTTAACAGAGTTATCGATTTCATCAAATCACTTTTGAAGCAACTTTTTCATCAGATAAGAACTAATAATTAGAGAAATTTGGTCGTGAAACGGCTTCGTCCCCACCATCCAGAAGAATTTAACGCAGAACAAAGAGAAGGGAGACCAAGGCGACTCTTCTCTTTTGAATGGTTCTCAAAATGCCGTGGCTCGCCGTGAGTATAGAAAAATCATCCCTGTTTTGTTCTTATTGCTTTCTTTTTGGTGGTAAAAAAGTGGAAGAAACCTAAGCCACACCCAAATCTTGGTCCACCCACCACCACTGTTTGTTTTTTGTTTTGGTATTTTACGGTGCTCTGAACTGTAAAAGGTTACATGAGCGCGCGGGACACTTTAAACAAAGCAAAACAAAACAAAAAGCAATTTGTAATGATCACAACGAGACACGCTACAGATACCAACGCCTTTTCCTTTCCAAATGTCGTGGTGTGCTTTTTATACTTATAGACAGAATTATGATGCAGTCAAAAACTCCTCAAATATCTTATTCTCCTTTACGGGTGAATCAATGTCACCCATACTTTGCACAACAGCTTGTATGAGTTCAAAAAGCATAATGTAACGACTAGAAAAAACGCGACGGACTTTTTTTCAAAAGCGATATTGCCCCAGCTGTAAACCTTTTTAAAATCTGTAGAAACCACCCACTTTGATTTTTAATTAGTATTTATTATGGAATTTTTTAGAATACAACAAACAGGTGTTTTTAAAAATTATTGATTTGTTAAGACAAATAAAAATTGATACAAGTCATTAAGCAAAAGCTAGAGAGTCTATGTTCAATAGTTTAGGAAATATTTGACAAGTTGCACCACACATATTTGACCGCACTATAGTTGGTGAAACCTAGTTATAACTTCGCTTATGACCTTCAATCACCATTCTTTTCTTTTATTATTATTTTTTGTTGTTGACAAGTTTGGTCTGTTTGGCTAGTAGTGTTAATGTCAGGATTTGACAGTCTAGATTTTCTTGCTTCTCTGGCTGCCTCTGCACAGTTACAGCCTCCCTCTCAAGTACAAGTACGTCAGTTTCTGGGAACTATACCTCCAGTGAATACCCAGTATTCTCCTCAGACATGAGAGAAGAATCCTATTGAGTTTGATAGTATTTGTTTGGTACAATGTCCTGGACTCCTCATCATCATCAATGCTTTTCGTCCCTGGCAGGGTATAGGCCACATGCAAGCTCCTTCCATTTATCTCTGTCCTTGGCCATCCTTCCAAGCTCGTTCCAAGTGAGTCCCATCTCTCTCATGTCCCTTTCCACACGTCTCCTCCATGATTCCCGTGGCTTACCCCTGCCTCGTGCTCCTTGTGAGTTCCACTCCAGCCACTGTCTTGTGATGTTTTCCCTTTGCTTTCTGAGGGTGTGTCCCATTCATCACCACTTTCTTAGTCCTATTTTTACTTCTATACATGTATCCTTTTGTCCTGTACTTTACCTCAGCTTTTTATTTCTTATTCTATCCTGCCACCTATTTCTTAGGATACTCCTCTTACATCTGTTGATGAAAGTCCTGTTGAATTTGATAGCATGCGTTTGGTACACTGTCCAGGACCCAGCTCCATGTTAAAGGGTTGGTTAGACGACAGTGCTACACACGCTGGGTTTTGACTGTGTACGTAGCCTATGCGGTATCAGAGACGTCCCAAACTCTATATTACAGTCTACCAAAGGCAGAGCCAGTGGCAGGGCGTAGCTAAAGGCTAAAGGCATTGAGCCCTTCCTGCCCTTTCCCCCTCCCCTTAAGCTAACTCTTTCCCTACGTAAAATTAATGAATGTTTCTAGATTTTACAAAATAATCAGTTGAAACTGTTACAAGTTAATTAAGACTGCTTTAGAATCTTCCGCCCCTAGTTACAAGCGATGAACACACAACTTGCTCGTTTATCCAATCTCTGTTATCACCGCTTGCAACAATAGTAACTTGAGTGCCAACCAATAATGTCCTTTGGGCTCAACAAAGGATGAACCCGTTCTCACGGTCTTCTTTTTATGAAACTCTTCTTGTAAACAGATAAAAGATTTTTTAAGAACTCGCAAAAACAGTATTAGAAGATAGGGCTCATCCTCTGCAAGCTCAGACAATGAGATGAAAGTTTTTGACATGTTGCCCTTTTCCACACAGAACCAGTAACCGACACGTCCATAGAGCTCTCGTTAGGAATATCTTGCTTTCTTGGACTATGCGCACTCTTACACAAACATGAATTCTAACACATGTATATATCTAGGATTTCCTCTGAGCTAAACCAAGGAAATCTTACCTTTGAACTCAATCTTATTTCTGAGCCCCACCCACATTTTAATCCATCCATCGCCACTGGAAAGAAGGAACAAATCACATAAGGGCCATATAAGCCAACCTCCCACCATTATAGTTTAAAGAGGGATGATCTTTTTCCTGACCCTCTGGGTTGTTTAATATATATCATCCTGAACCCCCCCCCCCCCACTTTTCTACAATCTCAACTTTATCATGCACCGCTTTGACGGTAGCCCAGCATCCAATTCACATCTTTTGGTTGTTTTTGTTTTTGTTTTAGTAGAGGTTTTACGGCGCTCGCAACTGCATAAGGTCATATGAACGCGAGAAGATTAGAGGTGTTACAAGAGAGTAACAAACATAAAAAGAAGGAGGGGAGATAAGGACGATAGATGTTTGATAGGAAAGAAGAAGCGAACCACACCCGAGCACCCGCCAACCACCCACATTCACATCTTTAGAAAGAAAATTTGATAGGCTGTAAATATACACTCACAACAGAGCAAAGGCATTGCCCAAGATAAATGACTAACAACCTTTATCTGTGTCTTCAAATAATTTATTGTTGTAACTTCTGCTGCATTAAAACAGGGTGAACAAAACTATTCTATGCTGTTGTTATCAGTGATGATTGATAATGAAAGGATGAACATGTAGAATAATTACAATAATAATGAGTCATGCTTAAATAAAAAGGTAATTGAGTACAGATTCCAACCTAGAATAGCATAGAGAAGACTTCCTGCAATAAACATCCACGTTGCAGACTGTTGTAATGTCTTTTTCAAAGGTAAGAAAGGAAACAGAAGGACCGAAGCCATTGCTTACTAATTGAACTCGATACGTTAATGCTTTCCTCCCATAGACAGGTAGTTAGTTGCTTTACTAAACGCTTGTAAATCATGCCACAGAAAGATTTAAGAAGAGATATTCGTCTAGGAAGTTCATATTAATAGTATTATGTGGCCCTTGCTGCTGATATTGTATTTCTTACTGTATCAGTAGGTCGTTACACGGGGGTTATTCCATCATGGTTTCCGCCGTTCACATTTTCCCCGTTATCTGTCAAAGTGACTGTTCTGTTTCAGTTTGGTTTGAATTCTTACTTTAGCTTTAACATGCAGCTAGGTAAAATATTAGTTTTAAAAATCAGTAAAGTTTCTAGTTTTAAAAAATATTCTCTTTTTGACATACTGTGTTTGCTTTGACCAAAAAATGCGGTAGTACCGGTAATGCTTATAGATGAAACCCCCTTGCAACCCTTTAAGGCAGTGCTTGTCAACGCCCACTTTTGTTACTTTAGAGGCTAAATTCTTAATACTGTCCACCTAATATTATTTCCAAGCGGACACAGGCCTACTTGATGATGCCTGTCACTACCCAGCTGATCCCCACAGCGATACAATTTTATTAGTAAACCGCCTACTAGTGGGCCATAGAGCCCAAGATGACCTGCACTGCTGTAATGTTCTTTAAAGACGGGAATTCTTTTTCGAGAACACAGTATGTTGTACAAATACAGCAGACTTTCATCTGCTTTACTTTTTTTTTAAAACAGTTACTGCTCGTCTCTGGAATTCAAAGTGTGACGGTGAAACAATTGATATCATTTTGAACCTGTTGGTGTGCTCGTAGATATTTATATAGTCAACTTCATGGACAGAATACTTTCGAAAAGATTCATGTTATAAATATGAGCTTTAGTAACTGCTACAGCCGAAATGGACGGTGATGATCACAAAATCAACGGTCATCTATTCTCTTTCTGATGATTTTGTATTTTCCGGAGTGAGTGAGTGAGAGAGAGAGAGAGAGAGAGAGAGAGAGAGAGAGAGAGAGAGAGAGAGAGAGAGAGAGAGAGATTGTACTGGAAAGTATCGTCACATTCACAATGCTACGGAGGAAGTTTACAAACTGATACACGTATAACGATGTGACAGCACGAGTCACGCATCAGAATATAGAAAGAACAAAATAAATCATCGCTCTTTTCTTCCATTATGAAACCCTAATCTTCTTAAACGTTCAAATTTGTTTTTTAAATTATGTACAGGGATGTTTGACTGTTTGCTATGACAATAAATTGACGTTAATACGGAGAATCATAAAATGGACACTTCTGGGAAATTCAATTTCTAGATCTATATATTATATTAAGAACTGTATGAAGAGGGGAACTTCTATTTCTTTGCGAAGAGATATTTTTGGCTTATATGAGATCTAGATTGTATTGTTCACTGACTGAATAAAAGGTATATTTTGAATTACATTATGTAGATTGAATTTCGTTTAAAATTTTATAGTAAAATAACCATATCCCCGCTCTCTGTCTGTCTGTCTGTCTGTCTGTTTATCTGTCTGTCTGTCTGGCTTTCTCTCTATCTCTCTCTCTCTCTCTCTCTCTCTCTCTCTCTCTCTCTCTCTTACATTTGTCTGGTCTCGAAAATCATGCCTCTTAACTTTAACGAATTATCATGGGAAGTGACTCATTTCATCATGTTAGCACGAGAGCTTTTACATTATTGTAAACACAATACTATGTCATGAAAGCCTTCCGCCTGGGAACAATAGGAACCATCAGTATCACTGGTATGGTTTTACATCTGCAGTTATGAGGTGAGTCGTCGAGGTGAAATCAGGCGCTCGTCAAAATAATGAAATCGAAGAAACAGGCATTTTCCCTCCGGTTTGGCGATTTTTATCGATGTTTTGTTGATGTTTTGGGGTATTTTGTTTCTTTTGGCTCAGCGCCTTTTATGTCCATATATATAATATATATATAATGTATAATATA